AATGGCCATTGTTATTCTAAGTAAAAAAAAAAATAATTATTTTTTTAATTTAATTTTTCCATTTACCAAGGAAAATTCAAGAGTTGGGATTATGGTTTGGCTTTATATAAGAGGTAGAAGTTCTTCCAGGAAGCAGTTTAGATTTTGATGTAGACAAACCTATAATACACCAAGAAGGAGGCCAGTACAAGTGGTTAACTATATGCTTGTAACAGTATCTCAAATTCCCCAACTGAGTGGAGGCCAGTTAGTGATGGACTATATGACCAATGGCCCCAATAGTTACCCTAGAATTCAGATTAAACAAAACGATCTTGCGCATATTGACAAGGCAGGAGGTGCCCTCTTGAAGGTTTTACAGGGGACTCAATGCAAGCTTGACAGATTGCTTTTCACAAACCTAACACACCTCTTGGCCAGCTTGGCTTGGATTGTAGACTTACTGGGCCTGCGTTTCCATACATTTCCTATGGAACACTCCCTTATACATTCTATAGAAAAGGACAATTCCGGACAAAATAAAAACACATGAAGCAAGCCTTTGTACATATAGACAAACGTCAGCAAAAAGAAAGCAGTACAATAATAAGCAGGGTGGTAGGCAGCTCTAAGATGAGCCCAGTGATACCTGCCTCCCTGCCCTCACATATGCACTGGACTTACAGGTTTCTTTCTCACAATATCGTAGAAATGAAGGGATACTTCTGAGATTAGGATACGGAAACCTTGTAGCCTCCGTACTGGGTTTCCCTCTCAGAGAAGCCCTCCGCCCTGCTGTGAGCTTCCCTACATGGAGGTCATGTGGAAAGGCCTGATGTGTGTGGCCCACAGCCCGTGGGAACAGAAGACCTGCTACGTGATATGCATGGAAGAAGACCCTCTCCTGTGTGAACCTTGTATGTCGTAGCCTCTGGGAGAGAGACACCTTGAGCTTGAGGCACATAGCCAAGCTGCACCCAGACTTCTGGGCCTCAAAATGGTGAGAAAACCAGTGTTTGAAGCTGCTATGTTTTGTGGTGATTTGATACACAGCAATGGACAACTAATATAAGCAGGGTATGGCACAAATACTTATCAAGTGATAGACCTCCCAAACAGAAAACCTAATGATCTTAAAAGAGACATAGGTCAAATGGCCAAATGCTGGACCTCTACCAAAAGGTCTAATTTCTTAAAACAAAGGACTAGGCCTAATACCCCATTAAAAATCTAAGGATAAAAGAATAAATTCAGCAGGAAGAGCACAATGAAACTATTGTAGTTACATCTCATATTGTTGAATTCACCTGGTGGCAGAGTTGAAGAACAAATGAACTCTGGGTTTAAGGGGGTCAGTGCTGGCCTGAGGGTTCCCTGGAATGCTGCCTAGAATGGCCTTCAAAATGGTCTCAGTGGAACTGCCAGGTTTGTCAAAGGATGATGAGACCCCTACTCAATACCTGAAATGAAAAGATAAAGCTGAATTTATTGCTTACTGTAGCATATTAGTTCACTAGGGCTGACATACCAAAGTACCACAGACAGAGGCTTAAACGTTTAAGATCAAGGTGTTGGTAGGGTAGGTTTCTTCTTGGGCTTCTTTCCTTGGCATGTAGGTGGCTGTTTTCTCTGTTCACGTGGTCTTCTCTCTGTACACATCTGTGCCCTAATTTTTTTGTTTCTAATGTCCTCTTCTTATAAAGACACCAGTCACGTTGAATTAGGGCTCACCCTAATGACCTTATTTTTATCTTAATTACTTCTTTAAAGACTTATCATATTTTGAGGGGTCTTCACTGGAAGTCAGGACTCCAATATATGAATTTGGGGAATGGGGAGTGGAGACAAATTCAGCCCATGACATATTCTAAGAGGGAAAATTGATGGTCAGGCACAGTCTCCCAGCAGAGCAGTGTTGACCTTACATAGGGTTTGGGGGCAGTGTGGAGTTCGGGAGATGGCAGACTTTCAGAGGAATAAGGAATTGACATCAACTGAAGTATGACTGCCGAGGTGACACTTGTTTGTCATTGGCACTCAGACATGTTTGGTAGAGTGAGTCCATCCCTGACAGGCTATTTCAGAAGCAAGGGACTGACACTGGTGGATGGCTTGCAAAAGTATGTTCAGTGAGGCAGGTTGTCAGTGATTGAACAGGTTTAAAGACTTACAGAAGAGCCTACTATTTTGTGCCTCCTGAGGCAGCATATTTTACAGTTGGAGATATATGAGGTCTGACAAGTAAGTTCACGAACTTGTTGCAATGATGTCGCTAACTTTTTGATATCAGAAGGATTATTCATTATAAATTTATACTAACTGGACAGTTAACCGAGTTTACTATTTGGAAGTGCTGAAAACTGCATGAACAAGTTAGACGACCTGAACTTTTCGCCAACAATTCATGGCTCTTGCATCACGACAATGCACCGGCACACACAACACTGTCTGTGAGGAAGTTTTTAGCCAGTGAACAAATAACTGTATTGGAACACCCTCTCTACTCACCTGATCTGCCCCCCAGTGGCTTCTTTCTTTACCCGAAGATAAAGGAAATATTGAAAGACATTTTGATGACATTCAGTATATCAAAGGACGACAGCTCTGATGGCCATTCCAGAAAGAGTTCCAAAATTGCTTTGAAGGGTGGACTAGGCTCTGGTGTCAGTGTATAGCTTCCCAAGGGGAGTACTTTGAAGGTGACCATAGTGTTATTCAGCAATGAGGTAGGTAGCACTTTTTCTAGGATGAGGTTGCGAACTTCATTGTCAGACCTCGTATACAGACTGGGTCTTGAATGCTCAGACTCCTGGCTTTCTTATTTCACTTGGCTCTGGAACTCGGGCATCCAGACCCTCAGCGTCCAGGTTGATTTAAAGAATTTTCAGAGGGCCGGCCGAGTGGCGCGATGGTTAAGAACTGGCTCGGGACGCCAGAGGGCCCCGGTTTGGATCCCACATATAGAGGGCCAGTGACACTGCCCTCCACAGCTAAGATGCTGAACAACAGCTCAACCTGGAGCTGGGCTGCTGTGAGTCGCTGGCGAAGGCGTAGGCTGCAGCCCCTGTGGCAGTGGGTTGCCATGGGCTACCGTGTGTAGCCAGCAGCCGCAGTGAGCAGCCGTCCAGAAGCCGGCGACTTGATGTGCCTCGCCTGGGAAGAGCGCAGTGATGGTGCCAACTTGGGCCGGTGGGGTGGCGTCCTCCACAACTAGACTGAAGACCAAAATGACAGCAACTTGTCTGTTCCCCTCCCCCAGTTCCCCAGCGCTGTTCCCATACCCCAATTCCCCAATAAAAATCTTTAAAAAAGGAAAAAAAAAAGAATTTTCTGAGAAATCTGAGCACCCTAAGAAAAAAGACTTATAGTGACCTCAGGGTTCCCAACAGACCACCCACCCAAGGCACTCTATACCGATCTTAAAGTAGACGTCTCTCACTCACTAGCTCAGTTTTAACTAACTGGGTTCTTTTTTTTTTTTCAATTGAGAGCAATTTTTTTTCTCCCCATTTTAAGACTGGAGTCCATTTTGCCAGAAGGGAAATCAATAGACTTAATTACTATCATTGTTCAACATACCACATTTAAAACAAACAAATCTTGAATTATAGTGAAAGCACCAACTTCACTGTGTGGGTCCAATGGGGCTCTACAGGCAAATAAGGAACTTGGTCTCAGTGGTCAGTGTGTTTTACAACTGTTTATCTTTTTTTTATATATGTAAATTTATTGGGGAACACCCATGGTCATTGATTACACATTGCTTTCATGCTACAATGCACCTCTCTTTTAGGGAGGGCGCAGCTCACAGTGGCCCATGTGGGGATCAAATCGACAACCTTGGTGTTATCAACACCGCGCTCTAACCAACTGAGCTAACCGGTCACCCCCTACAACTGTTTATCTTCAATAACTGTCAAATAGTTTCCACAGTGCTGAATTTTGTGCTTAAAAACCAAATGGACACACTGATCAAACATGATTCCCTGCACAAATAGCATTCAATTACTTCTCAATGAGAAGCCATCCTAGGGCCTGTGTCACAGCTCAGGTCTGGCTTCCTTTGGCTTTTGATGGTAGAGGCCGCGCTGAGCACCCCGTCCCTCCATAGTCTGGAATGGCTCTGAAGACTGAGGAAGAAAGTGATTTAAGAATTGTTAGCTTCCTCCTTGGAGCTGGGTCCTGGGCTAAGCTCTTTCAGGAATCCATGGCTCTTAATTCCTTCAAGAATCCTGTCGGGTCAGTGTTACCCTGCAGCCTTTTCCATACTAACAGTGCAGGCTTCAGGGCCACGGAGGGAGACTCCCGCCCTGGCATGTCCTGGCTCCCAGATTCTTGGGTTTTCACCTAGGAGTGCTGCTATAAAGATTCAAGGACGTGCGAATCAAGTCCTATCCCTGTGCTCAGCCGCGTGCATGCAGGGTGGCACTTTTCTGCAGCGTTCAGTCTATCCTCCCAAATCTCCCCTGCAACAGCGGCCAAGCCAGATGTCCCACTGGGTCATGATTTATGTGGTGGCAGCGTCAAAAGCAGATATTTTACTTACACTTTCATTCATTTAATGACTAAAGACGTATTCTCTTAACCTGGGGTTCACGGATTCCGCTGCAGAGGGTCTCTAACTTCCTGAAATGGTACCTACCCAAATGTTGGCAGTAAGGGCCCACGTGCATTTTGCGGGAAGGACCACGGCTTTCATCAGGTAGTGAGGAGGTTCTGACCCAAAAAGTTTTAGAAATCAAAGCGGTAGACTCTCTAAGGAAACCGCAGTCGGCGCCGCTTTGAGCAGCATCTTAATCCAAGTCGTGGGTGGGCGGTACACAAGGACTCCACGCCCTCCACGGCTTCTACAACTCGCGGCAGCACCCCTGTGGGGCAGGGCTGAGGTTCGCCGCGCCCTCCAATCCCGTCCTTTCCCCGCTCGAGGCGGGGCATCTTCACTGGGCATGCTCAGTACCAAGCACTTGGATTGGTTTCCTAGCGGGAAACCGGAGCTGTGTGTTTTTCCCAGGGTGCTCAGCGCTACTGTCATGGCCGCCCCCCTGGGCTGATATCCGCACATGGGGTTCTAGAGCTGTGGGTGTCTCCAAAGGAACTGTAGCCACTAGATTTTGGCGTCTTTGGACCCTCCTCCTTTCACTTTCTTTTGTTGACCCTTTTGGCAACTCGCTTTGGATGGGGCGATGACTGGGGTGATGTGGACCCCGGAGCTGGCAGTTTTGAGGGGCTTCCCCACTGAGACTGAGCGGCAGCAATGGAAGCAGGAGGGAGTCGCAGGCTCAGGTGAGGGAGACGCACCTGCCAGGGATTTAGGCCAGCGTGAGGACTCTGAGGAGAAGGGGTGGCAGCGGCTAGGTTTTCATCTCTCCTTGTTTTATTTTTTTTCTACCAAAATCTTGCTGATTTCTTAAGGCTTTGTGTTGTTGTATCCTTGACATGGTGGATGTGGTCCTCAGGCCCCTTGCTTGTCCTTATCCCAAACTTCTCACTGCCCTGGTTCAGTAATAACAACAATGGCAATGTCAGTTACTTTTCTAAGCCCTTAACATTTATTTAGTCGTTTAATCCTCATAATAGACACGTAAGGTAGATGATGCTACGTTCAATCCCATTTTGCAGATGAAGACATTTAAGTACTGATTGGTTAAGTAATTTATTCAGGGTCGCACAGCTGATGAGCAGAAAAGCTGAAACGAGGCAGCAAAGGTGTAATTTTGTGAGCATTGCACATTTACCAGGGAGAGAGTTAAAAGGCACATTTACTAGTGGGATATCTGTTTGTGGGATTTAAGCTGAACCTGGAGGAGAAATAATAACTTAGGACAGTATATAAGTGCTGTGTGTGTGTGTGTGTGTGTACGTGTGTACACAATAGGTGCTTCAGGATGTAGTTTCTGAAGTCTGGTGGTTGGAAAAGTTTCATGGAATGTGCATGGGATATTAGGGGAACAATGAGCAAACCAGCTTTTCTCAGGGAGTATAGTGGGGGTAGGAAGAGCCCCACTGTGAAAGGTCTTACAACCCTGACTACAGAGGCTTTTCTGTTGTCAGTAGGAATCTTTTTGAATTACCAGCAGAAGGGTGAGCATACTTAGTACTGAGTATTATTCCTGGGTCTAACTTCTACCTTACTGTTCATGGTATGGATGTGCTGCTAATTCTAGCAGTGATGTTTGTAGAATCGTGGGAATTCGTTCAGTGCTTTGTGATGGATGTATAGCAAGCATTCTAAGTATATGCTTTTTTATTTACATACTAAAATGGTAGATTTACCTAATAGTGTTATCCTTTACAGTATGAAAAAAATTGTTCTTTTGGACTGTTGTACTAATTTTTTATATTACAGAGACTGGATCTTTCCTACAATTGCTGCTAGAAGGGAATTATGAGGCCATATTCTTAAATTCATTGACTCAAAATATTTTTAATTCAACAATGATGACTGAAGAAAAGATTGATAGCTACCTAGAGAAGCAGATATTAACATTCCTGGATTATTCAACAGATTTGGACAAAATCAAAAGGTAGAAATTTTTTTTGAAGTTTTCATAAAGAAACAGACTCTGACTACGTTTAATAGTGCCTTGACAGTATAAGGCACTGATTTTAACAGTTGTTGAAAAACCTGGTTTTACATTTAGTCAGGACTCATAATGTACCATATAATCCATGTAAGAACTTCTGTCCAGAGGACCATCAGAATGATAAAGTGGTGTAGGATATAAGGATTTTGTGTATGAAACTAGCATATAATTGAGTGGTAACTGCTAATCCACTGAGCTTCCAAATGCTTAAGTCTGATGGTTTTTAGCCATAGGCAAGACTTTAGACCTTATTTCCTTTTAACTGGAAAGCATACACTATCTGTCTTGCTATTTTTTAGATTGCTGAGTAATACTTGCAACTACTTTTATTACCATAATAATAAACCATAATAAAAGTAGTTGCAAGTATTAGGGATCAGAGAGCTTAATGTTTTTATTATGGAACCCTTGGTTTATCTTCTTCCATTAAAGTTTGTGTAATTTTGTAGGATTAAGTATAATGGATAGTTACACAGCAGTAAAACCTAAGTCTTTTAATTTTGTTGTAAATTTGTTAATAAGCTTGTTTCTTTCCTCTACTATCTGTGGCATCCATGTTAAGTTTTAACTGTCTTTAAAATGCATGGAATTTTGTTTTACTATTATTTCTAGGGAGTGGCTCCATGTAGTTCTTCAACAAATAAACCAGCTACTTGCTAGATGTTGAGGTTATGAAGAGGAATAAGACACAATTCGTATCCATAAGGAATTCACAAAAGAATGTTACTGTAGGCATTTTATTTTATTTTGAAAATCAGTATCATTTCTTTTCATTTTTCTGGTTTACTAATAGTTTACATTCCTGCAGTGTCAATCCTGATTCTTTCTTTTTTTCCCTATGCCGTTGGTCGGGAGCCCAGCTTCAGGCTGAGCTGTTGTTCAGCATTTTAGCTGTAGAGGGCAGTGTCACTGGCCCTCATATGTGGGATCCGAACCGGGGCCCTCTGGCATCCCAAGCCAGTTCTTAACCAACGCGCCACTTGGCCGGCCCCAATCCTGATTTTTATTTTGCTGCCTGAAGTGTGTGTGGTATCATAGCAATTAGCTTTGTGGTGCCCATTCGAACACACACATACACACAAATGTGTTATTCGCTGGTAGACAGAGTTCCAGCTTGTCACATAGAGCTGAGAAGAGATATTTCAGTTGCCTCATTTTGAGGAATTTGAAATTCACCTTAAGGATTTTGATTTTTAGTTGTGACAGTTATATTAAGGCTTTAAGATCTTGCTCCACACCTGTTCTTCCCAAGTTTCCTAACTCCTAACTACAAACAGGCTCATTTATCACTTGTTTTTTCTAGTGCTGCTTATTCTTTTCTCTGCTCAGTTGTGCTGCATCCAGAGCTTTATATTGTGGCTCTCAAAGGCTTGTAGGTTTAATTTTTTTTTTTTCCCCCTTGAAGAATCTTCCTTTTGAGGTAGGGCCTAGGGGACATAGAAAGAAGAAAACTTACTTTCTCTTTACGAAACTTCAAGAGTCTCTGGCTGTTATTTGTTAAGAGTTGAATCCCCACCTATTTTTGTCTTAATCCAGGGCTTGGCAAATTATGGCTGGTGGGGCAAAATGGCTAAGAATGGTGTTTACATTTTTAAAGAGTTGTAAAAAAGAAACACATGTGACCTGCAAAACCTAAAGCATTTAATATGTGTCCCTTTATAGAAAAAGTTTACGCACCCGCTTGTCTTAAGCCAAATCAGGATGGAAAAAAATAGGTTTACGTGAAATTTTTGGGGATTTTTTTTAAAGATGTTTTTATTGGGGAATTGGGGGAGGGGAAAAGCATTGGGGAATTGGGGAAGGGGAACAGACAAATTGGTGTCCTTTTGTTCTTCACTCTAGTTGTGGAGGATGTCGCTTCACTGGACCATGTTGTTATTGGATTGTCAGAAAAGTCATGAAGCATGTTTGCAACAGATGGCACTAGTTCTTTTTTGGAAGTACTAGAGTCATTTGCATCTATGTTATTACTGTGTCATTTGACAGCTGACAGTTCTAGCTTCATTCTAAAAAAAAAAATGGAGCGATTTGGTTGAGGTTTGGAGATTTTACAACAAGTTGAAGATGGAAGACTGAACTGCATTTTTGCCGTATTTTACTGTTTTACTTCCATAAAGGGAAGAACGCGCGTCAAGCTTGTGAAAAGTTGCATAAAGTTTACAGTGGCAATGCTTTACAAGAAAGTCAGTCCAACGATGGTTCACGAAATTCTGTGCTGGTGATTTTGATCTCAATGACACTCCTCGGTCAGGGAGGCCCATTGAGGTTGATGACGACAAAATATAGGCATTGATCAAGTCAAACCCACGTTACATGACACGCGAGATTGCAGAAACATTGAACATCCATCATTCAAGTGTTCACGACCACCTGAAGAAGCTGGGATACGTAAGCAAGCTCGATATTTGGGTTCCACATGAACTCACAGAAGTTCATTTGACGGCATGTATAAACATCTGCAATATGCTCATTAAACGTGAGGAAAGCGATCCTTTTTTGAAGCGACTGATAACTGGTGATGAGAAGTGGATTGTTTACAACAATGTGGTGCACAAACGGTCTTGGTCCTGATGTGATGATTTGCCTCAAACGACATCGAAAGCAGACATTCATCAGAGGAAGGTTATGCTCTCAGTGTGGTGGGATTTTAAAGGTGTCGTGTTTTTTGAGCTCCTACCAAGGAACCAAACAATCAATTTGAATGTGTGCTGTCGGCAGTTGGACAGTTTGAACGAATCCATCATCCAGGAATGTCCAGAACTTGTTAATTATAAAAGAGTTGTGTTCCATCTTTACAAAGCGAGACCACACACAAGCGTGATCACCTGTCAAAAATTATTGGAGCTTTGATGGGATGTGTTGCGACACCCACCATACCCGCCTGACCTTGTGCTGTCAGACTTCCACTTGTTTCACTCTCTTCAAAACTCCTTGCATGGTATAACGTTCAATTCAGATGAGGCTGTAAATCAGCACCTTGTTCAGTTTTTCGCAAATAAAGACAGGTCCTTCTATGAACAAGGAATTATGAAGCTCACTGAAAGATGGCAAAAGATTATCGAACAAAACAGGCAATATATCATTGATTGATCTTTGTTCTTCATATAAATAAATGACCTTTGGAAAACATAGACAAAATACGTCTGACTTTTCCCACAACCTAATATTATCATAGTGTTCTTCCCGGGTGAGGCAGTCGCTCACTGGCCATTGGACGGCAGCTCATGCCGGCTGCCGGCCACTCATGGTAGCTCACGGCAGCCCACTGCAGCCTATACCATCGCTGTCGACTCATGGTAGCTCAACTCCAGGTCGAGCTGTTGTTCACCATCTTAGCTGTAGAGAGCACAGTGTCACTGGCCCTTATGTGGGATCCAAACCGGGGCCCTCTTGCTCAGAGCTGGCATCCCAAGCCAACTCTTAACCAAAATGCCACTCGGCCAGCCCTCTTGTGGTCTTTTTGTTATAATACGTGGTAGTACAGCTTTAGTAACATAGTGTTTGACAACAAGTTTTTTTGTCAGTTTTCTTTTGTATAAAATCAGTTTAACATATGTCTTTGGGCAATGTCAGAGCTGTTAAACAGAATGCAAGAGAAGTTACAGGAGCCTGATTAGGATCTGAACTAGAGCTGTTCAAGAGAACTTTCTGTGATGATGGAGATGCCCAGTACAGTGGCCACTAGTCCCGTTTGGCTCTTGAGCACTTGAAATGTGGACAGTTGTGATGAGGGACTAAATTGGAAATTTTGTTTAATTCTAATTAAATTTTAGAAAGCCGTATATGTCTTGTGGTTATAATGTTGGATATTTCAGACCTAAATTGTTTAGGTTTCAGAAAGTTTTTTTTGTCATACTCTCGGATAATCTCAATAAATGTTGGTTGATATCTTAGCATTTTTCTTAATAAAACTGAAATGAAATAGTATGTTTGTGGTTATGCAGTGAGAGTGGATCATGTTCATTTCTTTAACTGTTCTTATATGCAGACAGCAGCTGGTGTTCCTGATTGGAGTGAGCAGTTTGCAGCTCTTTGTTCAGAGTAACTGGACGGGGCCTCTCGCTGATTTACGTCCCCAGGATTTTTTGCCGTCTGTTTTGTTCCAGCGATTCAGTGAGGTATGCTTCTTGGAAATGTCATATATAATCATTGTGTTATTTGTTCTTCAGGAACTGGTCTTTACAAAGTGGAATAAATAATTGGTAGTAAAGAAACATAATGTTATAACTTCCATAAAACCTACTAAGAATGCTTATTCCTTGATCAGATTTTCATTTTCTAGAACTTGCATTGCCAGTTTGAATCTCTTTTTCAGACACCTCCGTTTTATGGAGCTCTGTGAGCTGTTTTTTTTTTAAAGGACAGGTAGCTGAACCGTTGGTTCAGTTGTATATATCACCACAGTTGCATAAAGATCTTTTCTGGCAAAGCAGCAAATCTGGAAATCTGTTCAATTAATTTTGTTGCAGGTAAGTTTTTCTGTTGTGCTTAAGAATGGTTTCTAGGGGTGATTTCCTTTATATTACAAATGCTTTCCTCAAGTGTCTAGCACAGAGGTCTCTATGGTGATAACAGTTCCCATTATCCATACATGAAAATGACATTATTGACCTGCATCAGTACATCATCAGTAGAGCTTGCAGCTTGAATTCCTCAAGAATTTTTGAGCACATAGCATAGGGCTTGGTGAGTAGGAAAGACATGCTCTAAAAAAGGTATGGAAACTTTGATTTATCCAGCTTCTCACAGGTCTTGTACATAGCTGTTAATCACTCAGCCTAGAAAAAGGGCTCCATAGCATCCAAAGCTTATGCAACAAAAGGGACCTATTTACTGTTACCTGGTTTCTCAGAATTGGAATAGCAAATGAAAGGGGAATGGAGTCATTAGAAATAAGTGTTAATAATTTGGTGGTAGGGTGGAGAGAAGAAGTACAAAAGCAGCCATAATCTGAAAGCCAGAAGTATTGGCTCTGTATTCATCAGTTTAGTGAATGACTATATTTTATCACATTAGAATAATTGAAATTCACAATGCTGACCCTAAATCAGGTTAAAAGATCTTCTGTATTTTATGGCTAAGAAGGGAATTTAATCTACACTTTGCAAAGGTTTTCATCCAAAATAGTTAAAATAAAATCTCAAATATTAGGGTACTTAGAGATGCTTCAATTATGCAGAAATTTACTTATCTGCAACATCTCATTCACTCTCTTATGTGTATGAAACAGTTTCTGGCTTCTGCGGCCCTATAGTGTAGCTTAGAAATCCACCAAACAATCAAAGTCATAATATTTACTGAGCACTGATGTGAGGTTCAAGTGGTACTTAATTAACATGTGTTATATTGCTTTGAGAGATTCTGTAGATGAGAAGACTGAAGCTCAAATTGGTGAAAGAAACTGGTCACAGGCCTTATATTAGCTGGGGCATTGGAATCCATATTTTCTGGGTCCAAATCCAGTAGTCTTTCTGCTTTACTAGTTTAGAAGCACCTGTAAAGTCAGGTAACAATTCAAAGCAGTACAGACATGGGTTAATGAGAGACTCAGAAATATTGAAATTAACAGAGATTTTTGGGACGTGAACTTTGTCAGAGAAGACCTCTTAGTTGAGAGTGAACTTTGAGCCAGAACCTGCAGGGTGATGAGGAAATGGACAGGTAGAGAAGAAGAGGAAATACATTTTAGGTGCAGTCACATGGGCAGAAGTTTAGCGGGCAGAAGAGTGTGGTGTTTGTGGGAAAGGGGTATTTTGAGCCTGTTGGAGTAGCAGTAAAAGGTCAGACTTGATGGGATTCAGGCCACACTAGAGAAAACTTTGACTAAGGCCTTGGTGTTCAGTTTTGTTTGTTTGTTTGTTTGTTTGTTTGCTTTTTAATTAGAACTACCTCAGACATTCAAAGAAAAGCATATAAAATGTGTACAGTTAAATAATAAAACCCTGTGTTCCCACTATCCCGCTTGAGAGAGAGAAAAATACCAGGCTCGTGGAACAGAGTTTCCTGACCGCTGTTCCCCGGATGCTGAACCCCTGCACGGCGGTGGCTGTGTGGGGCCGGGGCTGCTGAGAGCCTGTGAACTGGTTTCTTCTGGCTGAGCAGCCCTGTAGTTACCTGGAGTGCACTCCAGATCACACCGTCTTCTACATGTGCTCTGACTGGGAAAAGGCTGGGAAACACTGCCTTCGAATGTCCCCCGTGTGTGCTCCCTGATAGCATCCCCAGCCCGCCTCTTTCATGAGTCAGTCTTCCATTGCTTTTCTCCATAGTTTTAGCACCACTGTGTGTATCCCTAGAAAACATATTGTTCTGCCAGTTTTTGAACTTGATGTAAATGAAACAAATTATATAGTCTCCTGTGATTTGCTTTACTCGATATATTTTTGAAATTGTACCATTATTCATTTTTACTGTTATATAGTATTCCAAGTGTATGACTATACAACAATTCATTTATCTGTTCTACTCTTAAAGGCCTTATGGATTGTTTCCATTTTTTCCCCCTCAATATATTATTTACAACGCTATTAGGAACACATCTTCTGGAAATGATTACAAGAATTTCAAAGCACAGCATGCTTAAAAAATGATAGTATTTGTTTGGTGCAGTGCACTAAATGGAGGAGGCTGTTTTTACTGGTCCTGGGCTCTAGTTGGGCCCCCTGAGGGCTGAGGGGATCAATATTTCAACATACTTGTAAACCCTTCCCAGCACCAAGTGGGGAAGCTCTGTGGTAGTTATATGTGTGAGCAGAGTGGCTGTGCCCCAGGGTGCATGCATGCTCACCTTCACTTGGTAATACCAGGTTGTTTTTAAAAGGATTATACAATGTATACTCTTTACCAGCAATCTGAGGATTTGGCAGATGGAGTGGATGTTTTTAAACGGGGAAATCTTTTCTAGTTTTCATTTTTCTGTGCTGATGCATCTTTCTTAGTTCTTGTGATACACAGATATTTATGGTCATGGAGTATAGTCACCAAAGCCAACTTAATTTTCCCTGCCTCTGACTTATGGCCTTGGTTGGCATTGTCAGCACTGTTCTGTGGTCTCTGGTGCTAATCAGCCCCAGAGGAATAGACCTGAGGGGCCATGTCTGAGCAGTAGGTCACCTCTCACACGTAAAGGGTGATCCCGTGGTAACCTGATTTTATATTAAGTTTATCTCAGGCTTCCAGAGGTTGAATTTTTTCACTATTATGCTGTTAAATATGCGTTTTTATATGTCTTAGGCTCTCTTGACTGAGGAATTGTTCTTCAGGGAGTTGTAACCTTTGCTTTGTCAGTTTTTATTGAAAATATAAACAATCCTCTTTAAAAATGGATCATTTCCAAAACCTCTGGGAGCACATTTAGAACTCATTTGGCAAGACCAGTGTTAGATGACAGGCGTAGGCAGAGGCTGATTTAATAAGCAGAGAGAAAAGCATTTAATTTTTTTCATGAAGATGCAAGACAAAACCAGGAAACTTATTTATTTACTGGTTTATTCATTTAGTCTCTTATTTATTTATTATTATTTGCCTTGTTAATACCATCTCCAGACAGCTTTGAGTTGAAGAAGAGGAGGTTTAGTAACCAAGCCCTGGCTTTGAGTATCAGAGTAATAATTTTCAGGTAGTATATGATGGACTATCTCTGTATAATTTTCACCCTTCTAACTTGTTTAGTTTATCTTTAGGGATTTAATTTAGAAGATAATGATTGAAATTTCTCAACATGATTAGAATAAGAATTCTCTTTCTTAAAGGCATGTCATCTCCGGATTTTAGGAAATAAAGATTGTTATATTCATCCCAATGACCAGATGATTCAACGAGGCTGCAGGTCCAATTGGGCATATTAGGCAGGTTCTGCTCTTGAGTTCTGAAGTCAGTATATTCACGCGTGTCCTCAGTCCCTCTATTTGGAGGTCTTATGTACAAGATCCCTGATCTTTGTGTCCAAGGCTGAGCTCACGGTGAGGTTCTCCAAACCAGGTCCTCTTTTAGGGTCCGTATGTCAGTACACACACCAGCATAGTATCGTGTGTCAGTGAGACGGCTAAAAGTGGTCCATGCCCTGTCCTTAGGCCTTCCCAGTGCTCAGCTCAGCCCTGACCTTGCTGAGGGGCGGGAAGCAGTAGAGTGACCTGTGGAGCAGGCAGCAAGGGTGGTAAGAAGAACATAATTTTAGGAATCGGAATGCTTGGGGTATAATCTTTGTTCAGACACCACATTGTGATTAACTTTTGTCCTCACTTCTAAAATTGAGGCAATTGTAATAACTTCAGAATAGTTCCTTAATTATTGAATTTTTTTTTTAATTTGCCCATGGTGAAGATAGGCGATAATAGTAAACTTTTTGTGTGGTTTGGTAGTGGTCATTCATATTAAGCCTTTGTTCCTCTATTACACTTCTCAGTTTAATCCTTGTAAGAACTCTGTGAGGTATAGATGCTATTATTTCATTTTATAATTGATGAAACTGAGGCTTCAGGTACAAAATTTATCTATGCCCACAAACTAATAAGAAGCAGAAAATGGACACCACCCTATGTTTGTGAGATGAGAGCCCATTTTCCTAACAGCTAAGCATTCTTGCTGTCTGTTCTGTGGCAGCTGTCAAAACGATGCAGTCCACATTTTAGAAACACAGGTGCCTTGTCCACTGTATAAAATCTCTGTTTAGTTGATTTAGTCGAGGAGTGGGTTTTTCACAGGCGTCCCTTTTTTGCAGCTTTCTGTTCCCTCTGTTCCACGGTGTGTGCCTACTCAGACCTTGTTTGGCCCAATAGTCATGATGGAGCAGACATGTTTTGTAATGACATTTGCCAGCTAGTGAAGCGTTTGTGAGGTGTCAGTGTTTAATATAAATACTTTTAACAGAGGGATGCTTTTTATTGAGACAGTATTTGTTGTAAGTAAACCTGTAAAGTCATGCTCCCTCTTCAATACTAGCATTTTCTTGAGTTCTCTGTTCCTCTAAAGTATAAGCAGAAGAGTGGTGAACTGTCAGGGCAGGCTGGATTTGTAGATCCTGAAGGGCATTTTTAATGTTATGAGTCTGTCCAGCGCCAATTGCTGTGTAATAGATGAGTGTCTTTGTTCAAAGCTGGAGTAACTGGAAAGGATGTATTATTACGAGACATGTAAAGATTAATACTATTTTGTTAAATTATATCGTCTCAGAGCTTACGATTTTGTTTTGTTTTTTAGTCCAAAGGACTGGATGCAGTTGTTCTGAGTCTGCTCACTCTAGATGGCGAATCAGTCTACAGCCTGACCGTGAAGCCTATACTACTTCTGTTAGCACGGGTTATCCTAGTGACGGTAAAGCACAAACTGACAGCTCTTCAGGTGAGGGGAGAAAAGGCATCTGGAGAGTCATACCCGGATGTGACTTCCGTGTTGATGAGCATCAGACAGTGTCCTGTGTGATGGTTACAATAGTTTGATACTTTGGTTCTCTAAGTTGTCGTCTAGGTATTTAATTTTAAAATCTGATGAAAATAAGCAAAAACTTTTTCCTCTTATGAGATTCATCTGCTATAAAATGAGATTATGTTGTGCATCTTTAATAGGATTGAATATATGTGCGTAGGCATGTGTGCATGTATATAAATGTTCATTCTCTGAATCTTAAACATAGGTTTAAAAACACCCTTCATAATCTTTTATGAATTTCATGTAAAGATAATGAGCAATAGGTAGAATTTTAGCACTATTGCAGTGGATCTTAATTACTGTTTTCTGGCTCACATCTGACTTTGTTTCATTATTTGGGTTGGATTGAGTAGAGCATTTGTTGAGCATCTGTTACATGGTTTCTTTAGGTCACAAATAAATTAGTGACAAGAAGCACTCATATTCACAGAAAGCTAATAGGCAGTAGGAGGTGACAAAAACCATGAGAGAGATACAATAGCAGTCTTTGGGGGTTTGACGGAGGTGTCAGCTATGCTTTGTGCAGTCTATTCTAACTACTCTGTGTAACTATTAACCCTGCATTGTGTGAAAGCAGCTGTAGACATTATATGAAGCAATGGGTGTGACTGTTGTACCAATAAAGCTTTATTTATGGACACCGAAATTTTAATTTCATATACTTTTCGCATATCACAAAATGTGTTCTTTTTTTTAAAATGATTTAAAAATGTGAAAAACTATTCTTATTTCTTGGGCTGTACAAAAAACAGGTGGCGGGCTGGAGTTGCCCAACAGGGTGTAGTTTGCTTGTTCCTGTTCTGATTGTTGCAGCGTGGGAACACAGACCCTATATTGCCAAAGCAAATCTAAATTTCGTGTGAACCTCCCAATTTCTAAGCATTGGCAGAAAAATTTTAAGAAACACAATATTTCTATGGGCAGAATGTGGACTTGGTTTGTACTATATGAGGACTTACTTTCATAAGCATTTAAATTTAAACAGAAGAGTGAAGGGAAGAAGTGATGTCTGTATCAGCAACTCTCATGAGAGACGGAGTTTTTATCTGGATTCAGTTGCACTAGAAGGGTTTTTAGTAGATGGGTTTCAACATATCCTATCTTTGATGATTATTATTATTATTTTTTTTTAGTGACATTAGTTTCAATAAAAAAATTTCCCCAAGTTGAACTGAGTTAAATGGTCCTGTAGACCAACTCATACTTGGCGCTAAAGAGAGTATCCCCAAGGCATGAGGCTGCCAGATGGCGTTCTTCTCTTTCTGGTGAGACTAATGGTATCAATGAGGGAGTGATACAGTTTTAAGTTTTGCTGGTGGAAAGACTTTCATCAACAAGCATGTCAAGCATCATTTGAATAAAGATACACATGTACTATCAACAATTTAGGAGAACAAGTTAAGCTGTGAACTGCTGGTTGTGGAAGTCATCCTTGGCAGGGTTGGAGAGATAGTTACCTGAAATTCTCGGTAGATGCTAAACAACTTCTGACTTCAGCTTAAAACCCTGTTTGCTTATTGCACATCACCACACAAAGATCATTCTTTGCTGAAATCTTGCCTTTCAATGGAAACATTAAAGTTTTTTTCCCTTTGGGTCTTGACTGGATCATTCTCTAAATGATAATGTTAAAATGACTTCTTTGATAAGTGAAGATAAAATGATGAAGCAGCGCATACTGATCCAAGTTAATTTCAGTCTTTTAAATTAACTTTGAATAAGTTGGCTCCTAAGAAATGTATCAAGTTATTATGATAATATTTTTGTGGGACTATAAACGATGATTTCCCTCTACCCTCTGATCTGTGAAGCACGTAGACCAATATTAGTAATATGTAAATGTTGAGTGAAAAGAGTCTTGGCTTTGAAATCAGACCAGAGTCTGTCTGGCTCAGCCACTGAGCACCTGTGTGACCTTGTGCTCGTTAATTTCTCTGAATACCAGTTTCCTTATTTATGAAATGGAGTAAGTCGGCAAGCGTTGATTGGGTGCCCTGCGAGTACACGATGCTGCTCGCCTTCTAGGAGGTTGTTGAGTCGTGTGACTTCTCAATCAGGACATTCTGTGATAAGTCCTTCAGTCAGGAGGCAGGATCTAGAGACCATCTAACTCAAGGCTGCACGTTTTTTTTTTGTTTTGTTTTTTTTAACGCCTCAAATTTTCTATTAAGCAATTCTCGGAAAATAGAAAAAGATGCTTTTCTTTTCTAGTAGAAAATAGGATATGCTTTATTTGTTTCACACTCCCCCTTCTGTAGAAGGACTTTGGGCTAAGAGTTACAATAGTTCACAGATCTGATTTTTAAGAGTTCAGCATCTTACGTCGTATGTTTTCTTAAATGGGCAATCTCTTTGGATCTATCTAAATTCCCATGTCTAGAAAAGGAAAGAATAGGCTGCCAAACCTGACTCACTTATTGCTGACAGCAGATAAGGGACAGATAAGTGATATGTAGACTGACTTCATTAGCTTTACTGATAGGAAAAGAATGAGCCAACACCTCAGGGAATTGAATTAAAAATGATGTGAAACTTCTTTCTGTTAGATAATTCTACCTTTACTTACACGGACTGAGGAAACAGCATTAATAATTAGAAAGGGTTTTGTCATAGAGTCAAAATTCATTTGTGATTGCATCATTGTTGAGGCAGTTGTGTGTAGAAAGGAACCAGGCAGTTTCACCCCTTAATCAAATGCAGAAGTTGAAGTAAATTAGTGCTTTTGGTAATTAAGCATGATCTCCTATTTGTAGGGATTGCTTTTAAAAATAAGAGAAAGATTAATTCCTCACACCTTCATGCAATATAATTCAACATCACCTAGTTTTAATTAACTTAGATGATCCAATGTGTGATCATACTTGATACTTGAATGAGTCGATGAAAATACTTATTGTAACTGTACACACACGCACGTGCACAGAGGAAGAGTTATGAGAATATGAACCTTTGTCCTGGAGTTTCTGGGGAAGGAGGCAGCAGGAGAGAGACTCTTCACGGTTTGCTTTTGTACTGGCTTGTTGTTCATTGTTTTTCTTTATTTAGATAAGGATGTATTGAACAAGTAAGAACAGACATCAAAGAAAGAAAAAGTGATTGTGTTCTCAGCCTGTGCGTTAGTCAAGGCCTTGCAGTCTCTACTCTCAAAAAATGAATGGACCAGGTAGAGTTAGAGACCTGAAAAGCAAGAACCATCCAATGCGGTGCTAACTTCTAAGAACAGTATAGAGACCAGTGGGTGCTGCGCTAGTAGGACCAGGCTTCATGGAAGAGATTTCACAAACGTGTAGAAGCGATCTTCCCAGTTTGGAGGAATATCTGAATCCAAGGCATTTTTTTTTTTTTAGATTTTTATTGGGGAATTGGGGGTTGGGAACAGTGCTAGGGAATTGGGGGAAGGGGAACAGACAAGTTGCTGTCCTTTTGTTCTTCAGTCTAGTTGTGGAGGACGTTGCTTCACTGGCCCAAGTTGGCACCATCATTGCGCTCTTCCCAGGCGAGGCAGATCAGTCACCGCCTTCTGGACGGCTGTTCACGGTGGCTGCTGGCTGCTCACGCTGGCTGCTGGCTACACACGGTAGCCCATGGCAATCCACTGCAGCAGAGGCTGCAGCCTACACCATCACCGGCGACTCAGGGCAGCCCAGCTCCAGGTTGAGCTGTTGTTCAGCATCTTAGCTGTAGAGGGCAGTGTCACTGGCCCTCATATGTGGGATCCGAACCGGGGCCCTCTGGCATCCTCAGCCAGTTCTTAACCAACGCGCCACTCGGCTGGCCCAAATCCAAGGCATTTCTTACTTTGTAGTTTGTGCAAAATGCATTGTTTTCAGGAGGATGCAGAGATGAGTAAGACGTGATTTTTCATTTTGTTGGATGGATGGCAGATAACACTGAAAGCTGGGGGTGACATACATGACTACAGTGGAATGTGTTTGCAAAGGGTGGTACAGATAATGTGCTGGAAGTGCAGATGAGGGGAAGTGGCACCCCCACAGGAGGCTCCGTGGGAAGCTTCTTAAAACTGTTGGTACTTGGGTTCTGGTGCTGACAGTGCCGCAGCAGAGCAGGGTTACTGCAGGAGACATTTTAAAGGAGGAGATGGTGAGTTCAAAATGGCATCAGTGAGCCCCATTGGCTAGCGAGACAGGCTTTGAGAGAGGAGAGGAGAGTGGGTTATTCTTATGGGAGACAGAAGTAGATTTGGGGTTATTACTGAAGACGTAGCAGTGGATGGGTAAGCTTATGGAATAAGTTCAATTTCACAAATGTAAAAAAATTTCTAAAAATATCAATTCATGTAAATTTTTTTTCCAGAGTCCTTTATTTCAACTTCCATGGTGCTTTCTTTCCTAGAGCTTGCCATGGTGGACTTTGAGATATGTGAATATTCATCAGCAGTTGCTTGAAGAACGCTCACCTCAGCTTTTTGCTCTTGCTGAAGATTGTATTGATCAAGGTATGTGGCAGGTTTTTGTTTGATGGGGCATGTAGCTCTGTTTGAATTTCTTGGCTGACACATTCCTTTTTAGCTTATTCTTTGATAGATAATAGTGACTTTTTTTAAGGTTGTTTTTGTTTCTCTTTTTTTCTGGAGGTAGAATGTCACAAATTATTAGGCTGTCAGATTACAGAAATTCTTTTTACCTTGGAGTTTTTAAAAAAGAGACCACAGTCATTTATATTACCTATTTAGAAAGAATGATTTGTTCTATACAGGTCACCATGATTTTATCACAAATTGCTTAAAGGTATTTTAACATTTTATGTTTTTGAATCGAAGAAGCTTCATTGGAAACAAAAATAAACTCCCTTTATTAAAAAAAAATCCTTAACTAATTTGAGCTTGAGTAAACTGTGCCAAATTACACACAGAATAGGAAATTACTTATCCTGCATCCTATTGAAAACATGAAGAAAGGCTTTGTTTTTTTTAAATGTTTGGTAGAAAATACATTTTACTGAGGATGATAATGGGTAGAGAGACATTTTTACATTTTGTTTTATTATTTTTTTATTGTAACATGTAGTGTACATATAGGAAAGTGCCTAAAATATATATAAGAAATTTACCAAATAATTGTAAACCACACACCCATGCAAATGCCTCCCGCTGCCTTTGTTGCAGATGCCCCTTGTGTTTTCTAGGGAAGTGTTTGGAAAAAGAGGGAAAACCTTGGGTGCCTTGACACTTGGTTTCCCTGGGCTTCTGGAACAATTATTCTTGGCAAAAGTTGCCAAACAAAATAAAACCAAAACCAAATTCTTTTGTAGTGAAGGAATACTTGAACACAAATGAACTTGGACTTGGTAATGAGCTTCTGAGTTACAGAGAAGGGATTTGACTTTAGGTGTATCTGTTTCAAAGCTCACGCTCCTTTCACATACAAGAGTATGGCGTGAATATGTATGTGTGTATGTGTGCATGTGTGAGAGTTGGGGGGAGTGGTGGTTTTCATCGTTCTGGGTGGAGAAGTGGTGATCGGTACTTGATGGAGGTAGCAGATTCATGCAGGCATAAAATAACTCTTTTGTGTGTCCTTGTGTAATTTTGAGAAGCTCCTGTACCTTTCTGGAGTCTGTTTCCTTCAAGGCTACATCTGTATAACAACAAGGTAGGTCTGAGTACACCAGAGAGGACTTTAATTTGTGCAGCAATAAAATTACTAAGCTGGGTGATCAGTTGAAACCAATTTCTCAATTTTTATTTTGTTCTGGGACAGAAATACATAAACATATGCTAATCTTAGATAAAATGCACATCTATACATGATTCAAGAGAAAGTAAGGAAAATATTCAGTCAGTATAATAATTGAATCATTTATATTATTTATATTAGGACTTAGTTTATATTTTTTCAGGATTTTAGGTAACTTAAGACTGTGGAACAAGCAAGGGCAGTTTAGACCGAACTTTGTATATATAAATATATTTATTCTGACCTTCAACTTTATATATTAAAAAAAAAATTATTTTGCCATGGAATTTAAACCTATTTATATATAATAATAGAGCAGTTGTTTTCTTAAATGTAAGAAATTTAATTTTCTTATTAAAAGAATAATTTGTATACAGTGATCTTTCCTAAGTAACAGAACTGAAAAACAGTCTATCCCTTTGCTGCAAGAGTCTTTGGTTTAATGCTTTTCGATTATAAAAGTTTTTTATGAGCAAATTTAGCCACTGAACCATCTATATTTTCACTTAGACTATAAGCAACTCTCTAGGTTGAGCTCCTTGAAGACTGATTCTTTTTTACTTGTTTCTACTTACCATGGTACCTAGAAAATAGTCACTATTTAGTGCATATTTGTTGACTAGTGATAGCTACTGTTTACTGAACCTCTTCTGCATGTGCTTTTTAGGGAAGAAGTTGTGGAACTTCCTCCTTTTGTTCTCCATCTTGATTGCAATTTTTATCTGAGCTAATTCTTGTATAAGAGTTTTTCATAAAGTGAAATATTATAGAAGTTATGAGGAAATTGATTCTACCCAGACACCATATGGGACTTTGAATCATCTTGTAATAGCATTGATGAGGTGTAGACTTCTCTGCAAAATAAAATATAAAGTGGAACTTGGAGAAAATTAAGACCTGATGCCTCGTTTAGCAGACATGGCTTGTCCTGTTTCTATTTTCAGTGAAATGAAAAATGTGTACATGGAGTCTTTCTCCATTCATGCCGTTACATACAGAGGGTGCCAAAAAATGTACACACATTTTCAGTAAAGTAAAAAACTGTATTAAAATTGTAATACTATATACCAATAACAGAAGATGAATACAAGTCATGTGTATACATTTTTTTGGCACCCCTGGTATTTTTTAAATTAAGTGAGATACATTCTATAAACAAACTTAGTACATGAGAGAAAGAAGAGTGGGGATAAGCTTCTAGTGTATGAAATAGACTCAAGTTTTGAAAGCTGAGGTTGAGCTGAACGTCACTGATAGTAGTGGGGTAGAAAGGTTTTTCCAGAGGCTAGTGAAAGCGTTTGGAGGAGGGTGGCTTCAGGATTTAGCCTTTGTTTAATTTTGAGAAAAGTTAATTACATTATACTGCATGTATAATATACAGTTTCCTATACTTTATTATACTTTTATGGGAAATTGGTAAATGAACAAAAAACAAGGTGTCACTAGGAGTTTATTTGTTTATTTTTTTAAGGAAGTCAACCTTGATGCAAGAGCTGTAGGAAAAGTCACGTTGTTTTCCTTTATACTATATTATATAAGTCTGCATTGATGGTAACATCTTTACCACTCCTCTGTCTGATAGTCATAATGATGACCTTTTATTAAGAAAAGAAAAAAACACCATCTTTTAAAAGACAGGAACCATAATGGCGTGTTTTAGAGAGAATTCTATTTAAAGAGGTAAAATTAAGTTTCCAAACAGGAAGGGTTAGCTAAGCTCTCTGGAAAATATGGCTGTAAGTGACTCATTGCCCCAGTGGCCTCAATGCCTTTCTGCAGTGTATTTCAGTATATCATTTGCTTTGCCTTGCAACTAAGAATTTTTTATGTTGCTGTTCTAGGCTAACCAACGACATTTTTTATTTTATCTAGTCATAAATTGGTGCATTTTGGCTATGTCTAAGTAGGTCTGCAGATAGTCTTATTAAACTGCAACATTTCATGAACAATTTTATTTCAAAAAAATGTTTTGTTCTGGGATTTGACCCAAATGATGACCAAGCAGTCAGTTATAACTGAAATACTGTTCAGTGTCCAGAGAAGAATATATTTGAAATGTTGCCCTTGAAGGATCATCAAAAAGTTGGCAGGATTTTTTTTTTTCAGTCTATGAAACCGAGCAAGGGTTTTATGAACAACTGTGCTCTTTGTATTTTGGTCCAGGAATGTTACATCAATACAGTGTAGTGGCATAGAGCCCATCAGAATGTCAGCATAACTGCTGGACTGATCCCATCTACGAAAGGAGTAAGTTAGCATCTTGAAAAGTATGTTGTCCCTCAGCACCATTTAAAGCACACTTCTGGATGTCACAGTCATGAAACCATGATTCTCTAAATACTGTGTAAGGGCACACGACCATTTACTGTAGGATCCGATACTGAAAATGTATTCATGTAGTGCGTGAGATATAATATTGTGGTTTAGCTATTTGAAGATAACCTCATGAAGAAGTCACTGTCTAAGAGAAAACAGGTTCAAGTGCTTTGTGTGAGAGCTCCATTGTAACATCTACTGGCATATCTGTGACTAGGGTTAGATCGTTTCCACATCGAAAGAGTTGTTCAGGAGTTCAGCCTCTTGGTGACTGATGTCTGCACTGTTTTTGTTTTTATAATTTGCTACTTTGGAGTGAATGTTATTAAATATGCTAAATGTGATTATCTAATTGTAATTATCCATATGCGTTTTAACATATCATTAACATAATCTCATGAGAAGAGATTTTGGTTTTAGCATATATTTTAAATGTTGACATTTTGATCCAAAAGGTCATTAATATGCATTTCCATGGAGTACCTACTGATTTAAAATAATAAATGTACTTCGAGTGGGTCAACATGCTCCTCTTTTTTTTTTTTTTAAAGATTTTATTGGAGAATTGGGGGAGGGGAACAGTATTGGAGAATTGGGGAAGGGGAACAGACAAGTTGCTGTCTTTTTGTTCTTCAGTCTAATTGTGGAGGACGTCGCTTCACTTGCCCATGTTAGTATTATCATTGCACTCTTCCTGACTGAGGCAGATCGGTCACCAGCCATTGGACGGCCGCTCACGGTGGCTCAGGGCAGCTCACGCTGCTGCCGGTCACTCATGGCAGCCCAGCTCCAGGTCGAGCTGCTGTTCACCATCTTAGCTGTAGAGGGCGCAGCGTCACTGGCCCTCAAGTGGGATCTGAACTGGGGCCCCGCTGCTCAGAGCTGGCACTTGCAAACCAACTTTTAACCAGCGCGTCACTCTGTCAGCCCAACGTGCTCCCCCTTTTTTAAAACTTGAGTCATCCAAAGCTCAGACCTTTGTGTTCATAGTTGAATCACTGTTTTTCATCATTCTGCATATCTAGCCAGTTTTTAAATCTTACTCTTCCCTAAGGGTCTCCAAACCCATCCTTCTTTTTCCATTCCTACAACTGTCATCCTAGTCCATTTCTGTAATCCTTAGCTTGGAAAGGCCCAGTAAAGATTATCTTGTCCGCCTAATTCATTTACAAAGAATTGAGAATCAGAGCAATTGTCCAAGAGCCAGGGCTATGATCTGGAGTTTCTTACTCCAGATCCTATTCACTCTTCTTTCCATTACATTTCTCCAAACTGGTCAGTGGGGTAGAATTCTGGTATCTAATCGTAAAAATGCAGTTAACATTTCTATAGTGCTTACTCCATACCTAGCACGGTTCTAAATCTTTAAATATGTTAACTAATTTAATTCTCATAATTACTCTCATGAGATGCAACTAAAGAGTTGACATAGGATGGGTATAGT